CAAGGCCATCCTTCCAAAGCTCAGTGCGCCCTTGGTACTGAACCATCTGCTCCCCAAACTGGTCCTGGCCCCACTTGTAGCGATGCACAAAGGGCGAGAACTGCTCCCGAAACCAGGTCACCTCCGTGTCCTGTGCATTCTGCCCCGGGGAGAAGCTGCAGGGCAGCACCACGTCCTCGCCCTTGGCCACGGTGATGGGGCCGGGGGGTCCAGTGACGGTGAGTGGAGCTGGGAGAGACCCCGTAGGAAGAAGAGAGAAGTGTGAGTTTGCTGGGGCAGCTGAGCTGGGACACAGCAGCGGCTGCTGCGCGTGGTTGGGGTGCTGCCGGGCCGGGCCATGGCGCTGGCAGCGTCCCTGTGCCGGGGCAGACGAGGGGCTGAGGGCAGCTGGCACAGGGACCCTGCAGCACGGTCTGGACACCCACACTGGCAGCCAGGAAGATACTCCACCTGGAAGCCATGGCACAGCATCCAGCAAGAACAGGGGGATTCTTACCTGAGTGCCCCTGAGGAACTTGCAAAACTAAAGTGGAAACGACAAAAGCCAGCAGAGAGCAGTGGATGGGGGAACCACAGAGCATCCTCCTCCCTGGAGCACCACCTGGAGATGGGGAAGGACAGGCAAAGGGCAAAAGGGAAGACAAACAAGGCAATTTAAAACAATCAAACCAACCAACCAACCAACCAGGATGAATTCATTTTGAAAGGGGTTCATTGCTGATTTCAGCCCTCTCTGGAATGTCGAGGGAAGAAACTTGGATGCCCAAGGTTGAAATCAATTTTCCCTCATCAGACTGACTTTGGTTCGTGCTTTATAGGCAAAGGACATGACTGGGATCAAAAGTGGTGGGAATTTCCCATGGGAAAGCACAGGACAAGCTGCACCATCTGCTCAAATTCCAGCAGAAAGGGGCAGTTGTTTTCCTATGGAGCCCTGGCTTTTCTTATCCAGCCTTAAGAAAGAGACACACAGGGGCAGGACAAGAAGGACAAACCCTGAGCGAGTCAGGACTCATTGGCTGCACCTCCCTGAGAGTGGGAGAAGACTTTGGAGCAAGGGAAGCAAAAGAGTCCAAACACTAATCCAAGGCCCAGCCAAGACACGATCTGGCCCTGCTCTGCTCTCCCACCCACCCCCCTTTATGCCACTGACTTGGTTCCACTTTGCTAACGGGACATGGAAACAAGAGCTGGTTCTGGCAGATGGCAGAGGGCAATTTCCATTCCATCTTTCCCAAAAGATGCCACGTACCTGGAGACCCTGAGCTCCTTCCTGGGCTCTGGCTGGAGCAGGAGTTACTTGGTTGTCACCAAGAGTGTTGGAGGGGTCCCCTCATCCCAGCTGAGCTGTCTGAAAACCAGAAAACTTATCACCCCATCCCAGCAGCAAGGGATGGGTCCAGTGACACAGATGTGTACAGCAAAGGACAGCAGCTCCTGCAGTGCTCAGGGGCTTTATCACCCCCCTGCAGCTGCAGGAGGGAGGGGCCCTGTGGCAGAGCCTGTGCTGCAGACAGGGCTGGGCACTGCAGGAGCTGGAAGAGCAGCCAAATCCAAGTGTGAGATGAGGTCACAGGTGGGCTGGAAGCTTCAGGGCAGGGGGGGCCATTGCCCAGAGGAGGGGAGGGAGAAGCTCCATGGGCTGGTCCCCCAGACACACTCCCAGTCCCAGCTGTGCTCTCCAGGCCATCCAGCCCCTCTGCACT